TTTAAAGGAGCCAGGCATGGTGGTGCGCATCTTTGATACCAGCACTCAGGAGGCAGAGGCAGAGCCAAAGGCAGATAGATCTCTGAGTTTGAGTTCAGACTGGTCTATACAAAAAGTTCCCGAACAGATCCCAATGCAAAAAATACAAAAAAAAGACAAGGGAAAAAAGCCTTTAGGTATTGTTACTATTAAAAAAGTGAACTTGGGTATAATGGCTCACGCATGGAATCCTTGTATTGTGAAGTGGAGGCAAGAGGATCATGAGTTCAAGGCCAGCCTTGGTTACCTAACCCACTGGGTCTGATGCCATCCTGGGCTACACAAAACACTAAAGCATAAAATCAAAAGGAAAAAAGGCTGTCGGGATGGTTCAGTGGAGGGCACTGGCTACTGATCTAGAGGACCCAGGCTCTATCCCCAGCCCCAAAGGGAAGCTAACAACTGTCTAATCCAGCCCAGGCATCCAACACCATTCTCTGGCCTCGCCGGGTGCTGCACACAAGTGGTGTCCAGACACACATGCAGGGAAGCATTAGCATACGTAACATAGAACTAAAAACACATCAAGAGCGGACGCACTGGCAGGCACTGTGGCTCCAGCTGCTCAAGACAATACAGGAGGATCACTAGTCCCAGGAGCTGCAGGCCAGTCCAGCCAACAGAGCAACCTCAGCTCCAGAGAGAAAGGACAGGATGGAGAGATGGCTCAGTGGTTAAGAGAACTGGCTGTGCTTCCAGAGGACCTGGGTTCAAATCCCAGCACCCAGACAGCGGCTTACAACTGTAACTCCAGTTCCAGGGGATCCACGCCCTCTTCTGGCCCCTGTAGGCACCAAACACACATGTGGTGCACAGACACATGTAAGGAACATGTTCATCACACATTTTATAAAAACTTTTTAAAAAAAGGAAAGAAAAAATGATGTCAGTCTGCATACAAGAACAAGTAAACAGCACCAGGAAGAACTGCAGAATCTAAGAGAACAGTTGAGGGGAGGGCAGGGCAGCGGCGGCGCACGCCTTCAATCCCAACGCTTGGGAGGCAGAGACAGGTCGATCTCTTGTGAGTTTGAAGCCAGCCTGGGCTACAGTGAGTTCCAAGACAGCCAGGACCGTTACACAGAGGAACCCAGTCTTGAAAAAAAAAAACAAAAAAAAAACAAAACAGAAAAAAACCAAAAAAAAAAAAAAAAAAAAAAAAAAGCAGCTGAGGAACAACTCTCTGTGTGTTTGGTTTTGAGACACAAGCTCACAACGTAGCCCAGGCCGGGCTTGAACCGGCCGTGATTCCACCAGCCTTGCAATCACGCCAACATAACAACCGTGAGTGTTTTACGTACATGCCTGTGCACCATGTGCATGCCCACAGAGGCGTCAGATCTGGAAATGGAGTTAAGAATGGTTGTGAGTCACCGTCCAGGTTCCAGTCCCAGGAACTCCACAAACGCAGACAGTGCTCTTACCTGCTGAGCCATTTCTCCAACTCGGAGTAACAACTTTTGCTGGTTAGATTTAAATATTTTCTATTAAGAAGAGGGAGGGAGGGAAGGAGGGAAGGAGGGAGAGGGGAAGAGAGAGAGAGAGAGAGAGAGAGAGAGAGAGAGAGAGAGAAGGGAGGGAGGGAGGGAGGCCGTGGAGTTTGCTCAAGTGGCTACTAAGAGCATGTGCTGCTCCTCCAGAGGACGAGTCCCGCCCCCGGCACCCCACCGAACGGCTCACCAGCACCCCGGCTCCAGCCCCAGGCTCCTGACACCCCGGGCCTCTGTCAGCACCTGAGCTCCTGTACACACCCACACAGGTGCATCCGCACAATTTCAGTAACAATTTAAAAAGAAAAAGAAAACTTCATCTAGAATAACAACTACCTCCCCTTCTAGCTCTTGGGAGGCCTAGGAAGATGGATCTCGGTGAGTTCAAGACCAGCCTGGTCTACAGAGTGAGTTCTAGGACAGCCAGAGCTAGACCTACAACACAGTGAGACCTTCTCTTGAAAACAACAAAAACTATTTCCCTCTCTGCATTCCAGACCTAGCGTGTCCTGGAAGAACATTAAACTTTTACAGCTACATGCATATACGAGCAGACAGCTAGGAAAGACCTGACAAGCAAGGGCTCTGTTCTGGGAGGGAGGGAGGTCTGGGTAAAAAGGTCAAGGAGATGTCTGTTTCAGCTAAAGTCTGCTCGTGCCTCTTGTAAAATCCAAAGGAATGCCGCTGCAGACCAATGACGGTGCAGTTCTGTGGGAGACTACATGCTGGTGCACACAAGCCACGGGCCCAAAACTGACAGTGGTGATGACAATGGTCTTCTCAGGAGACAGAGGGGAGAGGGGGAACCTGTGCTAATCAGGTGTAGAGGGATCACCTGACTAGGAGAGACTGCTGAAGGCTCACAGGGAGCCAGCAGGAGAAATGTGAAGTCCCATTTGAGCGGCCAAACGATGCCAACATGGCCTCATCGGCCTCGTCATTGGAAAGGAACCAAGCGGGCAGAAGGCACCAGACAGGTGCAGACAGGAGCTCACCATCGAGTCAGGGAGTCCTGGATGGCGTTGGTGAGCGCGTGGCCCAGGTGCAGGGAGCCCGTCACGTTGGGGGGTGGGATGCACATCATGAAGACACCTCTGGGATTTGGTGCTGACACGCTAGGACGCTGGTGGCGGAGAAGGAGGGCACATGCTAAAGCACACGTCACCCGCATGCGGCCCTCCTCAGGCACGGGTCCTGATGCCCTGCCCTTCTCCACCTCCGCCCCGCTGGGCCTGGGCAGCAGTGCTCACTCACCCCATACTCTGGCTTGAAGAAGCCCTGCCGCTCCCACCAGGGGTACCAGGCCGCCTCCACATACTGCGGGCTGTAGGAGTCGGGCATGGCGCCACTGACATCTGGGGGAAAGGAGAAGAGGGCTGAGCGAGGCTGGAGAGGCTCGAGTTCGAGCAGAAGGGACAGGCCAGAGCACAGGCATGAGGCTGCTCTGCCAGCCTCACTAAGAGGGCCGAGGCCAGGACAAAGCAATGGACACGGAGCAGAGGTGCGGTCCCTCCCCAGCCCGTACCTTTCTTTTCCCCAGGTGGGGTAGGGAGGTCATAGGTAATGACCCCAGGATCCCGCTTCTCCTTCTTCTCTGGTTTTGGTTTCTTCTGCTCAGAAGGAAGAAGACGCAGACCAAGACATCAGCGGCTCGGCAAGGCCCCCCTCCCTCCCAGCCCCGTCCTTCGCCTCCTACCTCCCCCGGTGGGGGCTGCTGCTGCTGGATCTTCTGCTTCTGCTGGAATTTCTCTAGCTTTTCCCGCTTCTTTGCTTCCTTCTTGAGCTGAGCGGCTGTTTTCGGGGGTGCAGTGACCTCAAGGCCTGGAGAGAGGCATGGAAATGCATGCTCAAGGCTGCTGGGGACCTCTGTGAACTGCACTGCTGAATCCAGAAAGGGCTGTCTCCATCGCCCTGGAGCTCAGGCCTGATTACCTCCCCTCCCCCAGGCTCCCCACCCTATGGCCCAGGCATTTCTAAGATAAAAGAAAAAGCATGTGACAGGAAGGCCCCAGAGGGGCCACTGTCCCTCTGCCGTCTCCATCCTCCTCACCTTGCTGTTGAGTGGCAGACCTGGCCCCCGAGTACAGGACCACTTCTCCTAGCACAGCCCGGAATTCTGGTTGCCGGACACAAGTGTTAAACCAGCGAGTCACATTACCCCAGATCCGGCGGACAGCAGGGTCCAGGACCTGAGAGGAAATCAACACAAAACAATTACCTTAGTCACGCTGCAATGAAGTCTGATGGACAGACACCTGTCCGTCCGTCCCCGTCCTCCCCCCTCCTCACACACACGCCACAGCAACTCACGTATCGGAAGGGCAGCAGCAAGGCTGTCACAGCAGCTAAGTCGGCCAGAGTAGGGGCATCCCCAGCCAGGTAGGTGTGCAGCCGAAGCCAGTCTTCCAAGGGGCTCAGGGCCTTGCCCAGGGCCCCGAGGGCAGCCTACCAGGACAGGAAAAAGACATGGCCAGGTTTACATGCTTCTGTGCCAGTGGTTCTCAACATTCCTAACGCTGCAACCCTTTAATACAGTTCCTCATGTTGTCGTGACCCCAGCCAGAAAATTATTTCTGTTGCTACTCCATAGCTGTGGTTTTGCTACTGTTATGAACTGTAATGTCAATATCTGTGTTTTCCTATGGTCTCAGGCGGCCCCCCTGAAAGGGTTGGGAGCCACTGCTCTATCCATCACCATTTGGTCTCCTGCCCCACAATCACCAGCTCTCAGGCTACTCCCTCCACATCCAAAGGGTCATAAAAACCAACTGTTAGGTGTGGTGCTGCTCCTCTTTAATCCTAGTTCTCTGAGTTTAAAACCAGCCTAGTCTACACAACTGCTTCCATGCCAATTAAAGCTACAAAGACAAGACCCTGTCTCAAAGAAACGACAGAACTACGTCTGACTGGGAGTGCAGGTCAGAGGGAGAATGTCGAGCATGTAGGGGGCCCTAGGTTTCATCTCCACCCCCAAAATACATACATCATAGGACTGGAGAGATGGAGGATACAGATCAGCAGTTAAGAACACCGGCCGCTCTTACAGGGGCCCCAGGTTTGGTTCCTCTCACCCATGCGGCGGCTCATAAGTGACCTGGTTACACCCCTACCCTCCTCGGGCACCAGGCATGCATGTGTACATACACACATGCAGACAAAACACTCATACACAAAAAATAAAAACCGAATACAGACAAGTGCGCGTGTGTGCGTGTGTCCAATGAAACACATCAGGCACTCCTACCGAGACAACTATGAGTGTGTAAACATACACAGCACCGTCCTGCAGGGAAGGGCTCGACATTAATTCATCAGGGTCTACGCGATTCACTGAGAACCCGCCACGCACTCCTACCTGGCAGGGGCGGACCTTTCGGTTAGGGCACAAGTCCACCCTGGAAGGGCTCACAGGAGCAATCTGGTGGGTCTCTGTCCTCTCCCTTCCGCGCCTCCTACTTCGTTTCTCCCTCAGTCTTTCCAGCTCAAAACAACAACCACCAGACTTCAAACTTTCCCTCAGCACACTGGCTAGTGTCTGTCAACCTCACACAGCCTAGCGTCATTCGGGAAGAGGGGCCCTGCATTGAGAAAACGTCTCCACCAGAATGGCCCGAGCGGGCATTTTCTTAATTAATGATTATTGGGGGGGGGGAGGTGCCCCCTGGGAAAATAGTCCCGGATGGTGTAAGAAAGCAGGAAGTAGTGTCCCTCCACGGCCTCGGCTTGTTCCTGCCTCACCTCTGTGATGGCGTGTAACCTGAGAGCCGGAAGCTGAAGTATATCCTTTCCTCCCCAAGTTGCTCCCGGTCATGTTTTATTACGGCAACAGACACTCAAAGGCCCCCAGAAACTCTAAAAAGCCCGGCCCACCAGCGGAGTTCCAAGCCATTCACAGCCAGGGCTCCAGCGCGAGCCTCTGTTTAAACACACACCCTGGAAAACCAAAGGTGCAACACGCGGCCAGGCACTCATCCGTTACACCCCTGAGGACGGGGTTACATCATCTCTGACTTAAACCAAGGCTGAAGAGCTCAAAGTACCCCCCAAGTTACTGCACCAGGTGGCAAACAGGGATCCAAACACTGGTTCCACATCTGACAGCCACTTCCTTCCTCGGGATCCCCTCCGATCCTGGTGTTCTGACCTCCCTCCCCGTCCCCCTCACCTGGGGGTCCTGACCAGGGCTCCGGAGCCCCAGGGCGGGCAGCGTCGCCCCGCAGGCAGCCGGGATGAGCTCCGTGTCGGCGTAACTGACCCACTGCTGGACGAGGACGGCGGCCCTGCTGCCCCCGGGCCCCCCCAGGCCTGCCGGCCACAGCAGCTGGGCCACAGCCGGGGCCCCCCACACCCACAGGCCGCCAGGCCCCTGCTCCAGGGCGGGCAGGCGAGGCGGGGGGACAGGGGTCCGGCTGCTCGGGGGCGGCTGCAGGCAGATGCGGGGGTGCGGGCCTCCCCACCCGGGGCCGTCGCCCGCTTCCCCGTAGCGGGCGGCGATGAGGGCGCGGAGGCTGGGGAAGGCGTCGGGGTGAGGGGAGACGTAGAGGATGGACATGGCTGTGCGGGGGTCCGCGTGCGGCGGGGCGTCCTGCGGAGAGAGCGGGCGGGGAGAGGAGGAGGGGGCCTGGCCACGTGCTGCGAGGCTCCGGGGGCCGGGCCAGGCCGCGGGCCGGGCGGGCGGAGTGGCTGAGAGCGGCGCCCGGAGGA